ATTTGATAGAGCGAAGGCGACATAGTCTAGATCTTAATCAGGTTCAGTCTATTATAAGACAGTGGATAGCTCCTCGACGAGTAAGTGTCAATTCAATTAATTATTTAAATTACTCATTTTTTAATAGATATGTATTGTATATGCTATTCCTATAATGCCAAATGAGGTTTTATTGTTTTATATAATTATAATCCTTATATACTGTTCTATTATGATTTATAATAAATGAAAAGATGTTTACTCCTAACACATTAGCTGACTTTGTTATCGAAAATAATTTAAATAGAAGGCGGGCAGATTTTCAACCTATAAATGTAAACATGGACAGTTTCATATTTCAAAGAATAGAATATAATGATCTTATATTAATTGCATGTGGAACATACCAACTAAACAAGCTTGTTCGTATTATAGGCAGCACATAAGAGGCGATGGTTCCTATACTATAGAAGTATGTAGAAATATAGCCAGCAACCTATTGGTTGACTACCCAATAGGTCGCGATTATATGAAAATAATCACAATGGTAAGGAAGCTATAAAAGAATATTATTGTAAATGCATGGTTGAATGATTGAATTGATTTGATTGAATTGGCAAATAATGACTATTTTATGGTTTTTAAGTTGGGTAAGGTATCAGGAACACATTTCACCACCTGTCCAATTTCTTGAACACATATTAATAACATATGATGTCTCAGAATAAAAATAAATCATAAAAATGTTGGTTTATTTCACTTTATTTTTTTTCACTTTGATTTTCCCCACATGACAAAAATCTCTTTTTAAACATTTTGATACAAAATTAAGTTAAAAATATGATAAAATGTCTGTTCACGTCAGGCCAAAGTCCCCATACTAAGTGGACAATCTCCTTTTATTAATTTACATTTTATGATATTACTATTAATTGCTTCCATAATTCATTTCTCATGTCTCTCCTTTCCTTCCGGCTCCCTCTGGTGCCTCTGGTGGCAGTCGGCCGCGGCCTTCCTTATGATGGATGTGTTTTACGTCGTTTATCTTCATGGTGAGTGTTTTTTTGCACATAGGTACTAATAAATGTTACTTTTTATATTATTGACATATCGTTCAAATACAAATGTTTATTAAGTCTGGCCCGGGCAAGTACCAATGTGATTTTTCCGAATCATATGTACTTTCTAAGAGTATTTAGACATCACTGATTAATGTTGATTCCCAAAAGTGGGTTGATGTCAGGCAGGCGGCCGGTCGTAAAAACAAATAGCCAAAAACTATTCACAACATGTAAGGCAGACCCTGGCTATAGCTGGGAAATTGCCAGGTAGAAGAAGAAGAAGAAGACAAATGTTTATTAAGTAACATTTTTAGTTTTGGTTAATATTAGTGTTTATTATGTGTAGTGATAAGAGTACTAGTTTATTTTAATAGTATATTTTGAATTATTTTCTAAGCGTAACATTGACCGCAGGGTTTTTCAACGTTATATCGTTTCAATGGCTTTCTTTATTATTATGTTTTTCACCCTTTAAAATGCGACTTCTTGTAAGTCGAATATTTAAGTAAGAAATCTATTGTCATTATATAAACTAGAATCATTCGTAACATTCCAGGACTCGTGAGAATATATAATTCAAGATGAGGGTCGAAGCTGTTGGTAGAGCGTCTGTTAGGACGTGGTCTGCGGACGAGAGGAAACCTTCTATGAAGAGAAGTGTATGTAGCTGATGTACGATAGTAGTGTGACGGTATGTACTGTTGAATATTTAATATTATTCTGATATTATTTATAAGGTAGAATATTTTTTGAGTTTATTTATTCAATACTTTTATTTTTATTACTTAGTCTTGAAATGTTCGTGGAGTTTCAGGGAAGTTCTTAAAGCTGAAAAAAATGCTTCATTTCAGGGAAAACTCTAAAATCAGCCCTTTTCTATTTCCCATACGTTTTTTTGACATTAGATTTGACAACTTACTAATATGTCAATCATTCTGTTCGATTGAAACAGGAAAAATGTAATAAATACCAATACCTGCTTTTTTATGACGGGATAGAGTTCGCCCGGTCAGCTATACATATATTACTAATGACGAAATTAACGCGGACGAAGTCGCGGGCAAAAACTAGTTTAATATATTAATGGAGACGTAAAATGTAACAATTTAAATTATTAAACAATTTTAGGTAACCTCATATTGCTATTGGATTATTTTAAAACCATAAATACGGTACAGCTTTCCGATTTGTTAAAAATATTTCTAATGCTTGTTTCTTAGCTTAACTTGTATGTTGGTTTGTATGTTTGTAACTTACTGTCTGAAATAAATAAATGTAATTATAATACTAACTATCTCTTGCCCGCGTCTCCGTCTGCGTGTACATCACAGTTGTTCTCTGTCACTGTGGCCACTGAACCTGAACTGCTTCCACTTCATGGTTCCATCCGTGTAGTTTCGTGATCGGGTAATCGGTGTCATCTATCTCCATACAAAATTCATCACAATAGGTCCAGCGGTTTAGTTATATATATTGACCGTTTTATATAATATTTTATATAAAATATACGAATAGATAATACAATAAAAGATAAAACAATTTAAAATATTAAATACTTTAAATAACTTCATATTGCTATTTGACTATTTAAACAACATGTATATGTTATAGCTTTCTGATTTACTTACGAATACTTTTATCGTTAAACAATACTTGAAGTAATTATCTTTGTATGTCTTTATATAAGAACAATATTGTATTTTGTATTACAGATGGTGTTATTGGACTGTACTTGAGATTCATCCATCAGGAGATGACGGCTGATCAGGGACAGTTAGCAGGGGCCAGGGGCCGATCGAAGATGTACCGTTTCAACGTTGATAGATGGCACTTATTAACAAATCATGAATCAAATGTTATTTTAAATGTTTGTTAACATTTGTATCTCGTAATATATCATGAAAAGTATGTAAATAAGAATTAAACAATATAGGTTTAGTTTTTATTTGCATCTATGGAGTGAACGCCACTGGTATACACACAACTCTAGAAAATGTATTAAATGTTTTTTATTTAGTACTTTATTAGAACTAAAACTTTTAAATAATAAGAAAATTGTAAGAGTTTAGATACTGTGCTGTATATGAATGTTAAATATAAGACTCTACTTAGGTATGAGGAAGTATGAAGCTTCTTAAACTGAAACCACGTTAATAATACGTGAGTCAAGGAAGAATACAAATATTTTTATTATTAAAACACACTACACATCTAGCCCTATTCGCGGACGACACCGCGGTGTGTTCTTCAAGCGGGTCCTACTACATCCCCTCTCAACTACAGACAGCCGCCAAAACCTTATCTTAATATTTCTGCTGATGGAAGATAGATGTGTATCCCATCGTGAGTCTTGGTCACGGTTATAACAATGTTGATGAAATTAAGTATGCTGAGGGTTTTGTGCGTCATTTATAAACATACTTTGGGGTTGATTTGTAGTAACACAATACGTTTATATCTTCTGTAGTAGTCAATGAACAGTTCTAAAGTATATTAGAATACCAAGGAATTTGTCAATAGATAGCGGTGTAACCAATCACTTAGGCAATGGATGTTTAGTTCTGTTTAAATGAAACAAAGACTTGGATTTACAACATATGTATTTATTATGATAGTTTACATATTACCAGATGTTTTGGTGACTCTTTACTAACAACAGTGATCAGGACACTCGAGATTAAAGTGCCTGCATTTAGTCTTGTTATTACATTATTTCAGTTATGAAAATGGATTAATTTTCCTTGTACAGTCTTTATTCATCTACTAGTTTACCTTAATACATATATGTTAGATAAAGAACGTTGAACGAGAAATGACAATTATGATATATTTCTGTAAACATACATTTATTTCAAACGTCTATTCATCTATGCTATTTTAAGCGTTGAGACGTATGGAGAGAATAATACGCTTTTCACTTGTTCAAGGAATGATTTAATGAAAATATTTACAGTTATTTATACTAGAAAATTGATATAAATAAATAAACTATTGTTATTACTTCGTGTACGTGCTGCTACACTATCTACATTTATTATGTAATGTATTGCTGACATTAAGAGTTAGGCTTAAGATTAATCATATTACATCTTTTAATTTAAATTTACATATATATTATATTACATAAAACGGATGGCTGTTAGTGAATACTTTGAAGTGAAGGTTTTTTATTTGGTCGGTGCATACGATGTCCACTCCAAAATCGGCAAACTTGTGACTAATTAGGTCCTCTTAAATAATATCTAAGGGAGAACCTTGATGACAATTGTTAATTGAAAGCGGGTAGTCGGTTTGGTCTAACCAAAGGAGACATTACCAAATATTATAATCATACCGACAGAATAAAAAAAAAACTGGACATCGCTACTCCGGAGGGAAAAAAGATTTTTGATTTAGCATCCGTTTGCCGATAATCCGGTTTAAGAATAGAGCCACCACGGAACCCCTGCATCCCGGGGAAATGCTACCGGTGTCAACTATACGGACATTCGCAGAGGTTCTGCTACGCACGCCCGCGTTGCGTAAAGTGCCTTGGCGACCAATGCGAGCGTTGTGATTGGCCGAACGGCGGCTCGCGACAAATAATGCGACGTGCGAGCGCTACGCCGTTATAAAAGACGGCCCAACCGGCCGAACAGACACTAGACAGACAGACACGCCCGGATCCACTTCCAGCTTCCTGTTGGCAAAGCCACAGCACCCGCCACTCTCCGCTGCAGCAGATTTGTGCAACGGACATGTAGTGCGTGAACGGTCGAGCCCCTCTCCCCCGTCGTGAGAACACCGACGCCGCCGCGAACCAATCACGGCGCTCGGTTAGGATCGCGTGTTCGGCTGTGATAAGTGAAAGGACAGAGACCTAAACAGTGACAGTGACACTCTTTAGTTTAAGTGATTTCAAGGCATGGACCTAATTTTAACCAACTTGTGATTAATAATAGTGTTAGTGCTAGTGTAGTGATGGCCCCACCATCGCCACCTCGGCCCGCGGCTGCGTCTCAAAGGAAGAGAACAGTGCGAGCGGCCCAGGTTTGGCATGGTGCAGCTAGACGTCGCACGGATGCCGCGGCCGCAATGTTGCAACGGATTGGAGGACAGCTGACCCACGTGTCTGGGTCCCGATCCGATGTGCACCATCACCATCGCCGTCACCACGTCCCACCACACCGGCTGGGACAGGAGACGCTTTCTTCGACAGCCCGGAGTTGGCCGCCTCACCGGCAATCTCTCCGCCCTGTGATCCCCGAAGACGACCAGCATCGCCCAAGGAGCAGAGGCAGCGCCAGGACACGCGTCTCGATCAAACCACCTGGGCTCCGGTTAAAGGTAGGCCCGCGCCGCGCCTAGCGGCGCCACCCCCCTACCCCGCTGAGCGATTTATATCGCCACCCAAGACCCCCCCCCGCCCGCCGGCCTTTACGTCTCCATGCAAGGTTTCGCCATGCATAGAGATGGAGGTCTCATACGCAGTCATGGCTGCGTCACCGCCTACGGGATCCAAACCCATCCCGGCCACCCGCTCACCGACAGCAAATGCGGATGCGCCGACTCCACGGCCCCGCACCACTCCGCCGTCAGCGAGCCCTCCAACCTCCAATGTTGCCGGTGCCACCGACGGTACCACCGCCACGGCCGCCGACACTAACAAGCCCGCATCCAGGGCCAGGTATCCGCCCTTGGTAGTTGAATCGCTTCCAGAGTGGCCGCGTCATATGCGCGAATTGAAAAGGCGACTCGGATTCGCTCCGAATGCCCGCCCCTTTGGGAAAGGTATTAGATTCCTCCCGAAATCAGACCGGGAGTTCCGCGAGGTACAATCATACCTCGCAAAAGTAGAAAGATGAGAACGTGGCGTGGTTCTCATACTCACTCCCGGCTGATCGCCCACTAAAAATTTTGGACAAACACTAAAAATTTTGAACAAAGGAGACCACTGACCGTAGAGAAGAAACTGCTCCCAATCCAGGCGGAGATACTGAAAACGGCGGAAGAGCTGTTAATGCGCTCATCGCAGGAGGATTCTTTCGCCACAGAAATATCAAAGCTAAAGAACGGCGAACAAATCAACAAGGAGAGTCGCCTCCACCAGCTGAGTATCCAATACAGCGAAAGCTCAATACGTATCAGGAGCAGGATCGACGCGGTCCAAGACGTGACGGACGCGTTCAAAAAACCTATGGTGCTCTGCGGGGACCATCCGATCACGAGGTTATGCATACAATATATCCATAAGCAATTCCATCACGCCGGCGTAGAAACAACACTAAACGAATGCCGACAACGATATTGGGTGCTAAGAATACGCCCCACGATAAAGTCATTGCTAAAGAATTGCCTACTCTGCCGGGTGAGGGCTCAGAAACCGCCATACCCAAGAACAGGGGACCTACCGGGGTGTCGCTTAGCCCACCACAAGCGACCCTTCACCTACACGGGGGTTGACTACTTCGGCCCACTACCGGTAACAGTGGGCAGAACTCGACAGAAAAGGTACGTGGCGATTTTCACGTGCCTCACCACTCGAGCTATACACCTCGAGGTCGCCGGCTCTCTCACCACGAACTCAGCAGTGATGGCACTACGAAGAATGTTCGCTCGCCGAGGATACCCGACGGAGATCTGGTCCGACAACGGGACAAACCTTAAAGGGGCGGACAAGGAAATGCGAGAAGCGATTGACGGGGCAACCAAGGAAGAGGCCGCGCAGAAATTGATCAACTGGCGTTACATCCCTCCAGGGGCGCCATTCATGGGTGGAGCGTGGGAGAGAATGGTGCGGTCAGTGAAGACAGCCCTGACCGCTACCTTAAACGAACGCCACCCAACAGAAGAGGTACTAAACACGCTACTCGCGGAAGTGGAGTATACAGTGAACAGTCGTCCATTGACACATGTCTCAGTCAATGAGGAGGATCCAGAGGCGCTCACGCCTAACCACTTCCTGCTAGGCGGACCAGGTCGGGTACCCCAACCAGGGACGTTTAATGAAAAGGACGCCATCTCCACGTCGAGCTGGCGAGCGGGACAACAACTGGCAGATACGTTTTGGTCTCGCTGGGTGAAGGAGTATCTCCCCGAGCTTCAACACCGGCGGGAGCCAAACGGAAGGGGACCTGAAGTGCAGATAGATGACCTGGTGCTAATCGTAGACGCCAACTTACCCCGGAACACATGGATTCGTGGTCGCGTGATGGCGACGTATCCAGGACCAGACGGCGTGGTACGTACGGTGGACGTGCGGACCAAGGGAGGTGTACTACGTCGTCCAGTCAGAAAGCTCGTGATCCTGCCGATATCAACAGAAGAACCCGCACCGAAGGATACGACGAGTCGTACGGCGGGAGAGATGTGCGGGATAGCATCATAGAAAATAGTATAGAATATAATATATATGTATAAATAAATAGCGATAGAAACTTGTAATGTGTAAATAAAGATATAGCGTAAGATTAATGTAAATAACAGTATAGTATAGTAAATAAAAATATAGAAACTAGCATAAGATCATTATGTAGAATGTAAAATAGAAACAACTTGTATGCGAAGTAACTGTAAAATTATCGTATGCGCAACTACGCTCGACAACGCAAGCTCCTGATTGGGCGAACGCCTGCGCGCTCGCTCAAACACCGACAATGCGCGGTGAGATCACCGCGCGGATATAAAAGACCGGCCGACGGGCCGACTCAACACAGACGGGATCCCCAACACAGCACTACAAAGACTCCCTCGGAAGGCGCTCATCACGGCTACACAACTCTTTAACCTTCCTATACTCGCGCCAATTTTTGTAACACCTATACTCGCGCACGGTGTCACAGACCGATAGTTTGTACCCCTACAACATATTTTTTTTAACAAGAAACACATAAAGTATTACTATTATTTTAAAGTTTAGGATGTAATGAAACAAAACAGTATAACTAAAAGTTATTTTATTAATTATTTTACCAACTTATAGTTTTATCACAAATCAGTCTTAAAATTTGAGATTATTTTCTTAAGTACTAAAAAATTAAAATAAAATCTGAACTTCTTTTTAAAAACAAATTAAACTTCTTATTAATAACAACAAACATATCAATAAACATATTTATCTATGTTTGACTTAATTTTGAGCCTCGCCATAGCAATCAGGGCATACGGTTACAGCATGCTCCAAACAAAAGTATTTTTTGCAGGTGGCACAGTTGTAACGTGTCTTGCGGTTTTTTTTTCGAAGAGCAGTATCCACAACGACCTACTTTATTATTGTAAGATGTTGCTGCAGACTCGGGTCCATCTAATTTGCATATTTCGGTGAGCCTGAGTCTTATGCTTCTCGGCAAGGATGAAATGAGAGCCCGTCGTCTAAGTTGCGGATTGATCAAATCGTATGCTAAGGCTTCAAGGAAGACTCGACGGCTAATTTTCTTGTTAGGGTTATTCTGCAGGTATATTATAAACGTATTTATACCCGCTACATTCATTAGGCTATAAAATATCACCATTGGCCATCTATTTGTCCCACGTGCGACGTTGTAAGTCTCACACATTTTGTCTACGGTATCTACTCCACCTTTGGTTCTATTGTAGTCCATTATAATTTCCGGTTTACCTGTATCTTCATTGATCTGGGCATCATCGTGCATGCTGGATACGAGAAGGACATTTTTGCCTTTTTTTGGTACATAGGATACAAGACTGCAATTGCCACGGTGCCCGAATAAACTAGATTTTTCGGCTCTTCCTCGTATTTCCGTGAAATTTTTAGGCAATTCTCGTTTGTTTTTACGAATTGTCCCAATAACTGTCAATTTGTGTTGAGACTCAAGCTTATCTATCAATGGAATACTAGTGAAGAAGTTATCACATGTGATATTACGCCCAGTATTGTGAATATTTTCACTCAATCGCAAAACCAAAGCCAAAGCGGAGTTATCAACTTGGTATGGACCGTCTGGTTGCTTCCCAACATAAACTTCCATGGTATGGGTATAAAACATTTTGGCATCTGTCAACGCATAAATTTTGATTCCGTATTTGTTGGGTTTTGATGGAATGTACTGGCGAAAGTTACAACGTCCTCTAAAAGCCTCTAACTTCTCGTCAATTGTAACATACTGAGACACGCTGTAATATTTTTTGAACGTTCCCACAACTATATCAAACAACTCTCTAATAGGTGCCAGTTTATCCAGTTGTATTCTCTCTTCTCGTGTATCTTTACTGTCAAATCTGAGACAACGCATCAATAGAAAGAACCTGGATAATCCCATAGTCAAACGAAATATCTCCGGGGATGACCCGTCAGTTCTGAAAAAATCTTTGGCATTTAGACGAGCGTTCCTTCTGACTCCAGCAAATAGTAAAAGGCCTAAAAAAGCTTCAATTTCAATATTGTCTGTATCGGCGCAGTCTCTCTCTCTTGTGAAATTATGCTTCATGCGATTAATTTGTTCATTAGTGTACTTTACTATCAGGCTGATAGTGCCCTCCGAAAAAAAAAGCCGCCACAGCTCACCTGGTTCCTTCAAATTTCTAGCTTCTCCTCTAGCGCCTGGAAGTTGAGTAACTATATTTCTAGCACGTCGCCTAGTTGGGTTTGAGGCAGGAGATTTATTCCACCTTGTCTGTCCATCTTTTCCTAAGTAAAAATCATGGGATCGTTCATTATGTTCTTCCTCAGATATCTCGTCATTGTCATCGTCTTGCTCGGTATCATATGTCTCTTCTTGTACCTCCACGTTATCTTCCACCTCACTGTCATTTTCGTCTTCATAGCTTGAGCTAGAACTTAATTCTTCCAGCAACAATCTGATGTGATCATCGTCCATTTTGATATGGATTAAAACCTAAAAAAGAATGATAAAATTGGTCAAAATATAATATAGAGCAACATACATACATATATTTTACTATATATACTTTATAAAGTAATCAAAGTCCGCAAAAAATATACAAATGCACGAAATAAATTATATTAATACTTACACAAAAAGTTACACCTATACTCGCGTCGGTCTCGTGGACCGATTGGTGACGAGTGCTACAACACGTGTGTTTCGCCCGAACGCGCGGCGTGCACTAAAACGAAGTTAGCCACAAATCCGGCAGCTAGCAAGGAACTCAACTTCTTAGGATTTACCTGCATAAAAATAATTACGAAAATGTGTTTCGTCGGTCTCACAGACCAACGCGCGAGTATAGGAAGGTTAACGGCATCCTGAGGACTGGCCACTTCCCTACCATCTGGAAGCGAGGCCGGGTTATAGTAATACCCAAACCCGGCAAGGACCTCAGGAATCCGGAGAGTTATCGGCCGATTACACTCCTGCCAACGCTGTCCAAGGTATTCGAACGGCTGCTGCTGGTGAGAATCAATCCTCTCCTGACGTTGAGGCCGGAACAATTTGGCTTCCGCCAGGACCATTCCACCACGCTGCAGCTGACTAGAGTACTAAACGAGATGGCCACGTGGATGAACAAATGCGGCAGCACAGTGACCGTGATGCTGGATATGGAGAAGGCATTCGATAGGGTGTGGCACGATGGTCTCATTTACAAGCTATCGTTGTCCGCCCTACCGAGGCCTATCGTCACGGTCATCGCATCATTCCTGCGCCAACGCTCCTTCCATGTGTCAACTGGAAGCGCCACGTCAACGCAGAAACAAATCCAGGCCGGTGTGCCACAAGGGAGCTGTCTCTCACCGACCTTCTACGCCTATTACACCAACGACATCCCCGTCTCAAGCGGCACTCAACTGGCCCTATTTGCGGACGATGCTGCATACCTGTCCAGCTCTACCAGCGCCAGGCACGCTGCTCTTAAGATGAGCCGGAACCTCGAAGCGCTTCCTAGCTGGCTTATGAGATGGCGACTTAAGTGTAACGTGTCAAAGACCCAGGCGCTCATCACTGGACGAGCCCCACCACCGCCGAGCCTCTAACTAATGGGAAAGGAAATCCCATGGTCGTCGACGGTCAAGTACCTGGGTGTCACCATCGACAGGTCCCTTACGATGGTACACCATGTGGGAACGGCCGTAGCGAAGGCCCAAGTAGCGAGGACCAAATTACGTCCTCTGCTGTCCTCGAGACTGCCCTTTGCGAACGAAACTCGCCATATACAAAACATACATCAGGTCACGCCTCACGTACGCGGGGCCGGCCTGATATAATCTGGCAGCAGAGTCGACGCGACAGCGATTACAGAGTACGGAGAATTCCTGCCTTCGTCTCGCTGTCGATGCACCTCGCTACTTGAAGAATACTACGATCCACCGGGATCTAAAGTGGGAGCCTATCGGGGGATTCATGGGCAGGCTGGCTAGGAAGATGTTCGAGCGAGCTGACTGCTCACATCTGAAGCACCTAGCCAATATTGCCCCCCTCCCCCACCAAGACACGACGTTACTGCGCAGGAGGCGACTTAAACGCCCCGCTCGGGAGTTGATCCCAGCTCCCTCGAGCGGGGCCGCAGAATCGCCAGTCCCGACAGCAGCAGAACAGGACCAACCACCGCCCTCTCGTAGACGCTTAGAGGGGTCTCACCCCGCCGGCGTCTCGAGGGCGGTTATCAGCCAATGACCGACCCACAGTAGTGGGTCGCGGGGATAATCTCCTTAAGGAGCATAGCTCCGATGGACGCTCCATTGTCCCAAGGGAAATGGAAAGAATACCATTACGGACTCAACACAGTCAGCAAGCGCAATTCATCGGAGAAACAACAGTCAACAAGCGGAACTCAAGAACTACGGAAGACTTCAACAGCGAACAGTGAAACGGAAGATCATTAACAGTGTTCAGAATTGTAATTCGTGTAGAAAATAAATAGTGAATAACCGAACCAGCGCATAGTTTTAATGTACAAACCCGTACATATTCATTTAAACAAACATATATTTCATGATCTATGGACAGACCTTAAATGAAAACATAAGACGGTAGTGAAACTATGAGTACTTTGATTGAGGAAGATGTTTCTGTAGGAGAGCTCTAAATTGTTTTAAATAAATAAAACTAATTATCTTTCTATGTATACGTACATTCCAGGAGGTTCTTTGATATCGATAGACACATCAAACACGTACTGTACATGTTTATAGTGAACACACTCCTTATATTGTCTGCAGACTGCTACAGTTGATACTTCAAGTCTTCTCTATTCTAATATGTCACACTAACCGAGTCATTCTCCTCTTCATATAATTCTATGTTTCATCAATACTTGGTTCATTGTTAGTTTTCATCTAACACTTGATGATCAGCCGTCATCTCCTGATGGATGAATCTCAAGTACAGTCCAATAACACCATCTGTAAAACATAATACAATATTGTTCTTATATGTATAGAGACATACAAAGACACTTACTTCAAGGATTGTTTAACGATAAATTAATAAAAGTTTAAAAAATAACAAAAAACTCCTATAAAATAGAAAAAACTAAATATAGCATATTTTTATGATTCAAATTAAAAGAAGAGATTCATTTTGTGTTTAAGTTGGTGGAGTGCTATATTACTATTCCATTGTCATACAGTTTTCTAATTTAATTAATTTCTTCCATTTAACATTTATTTATTCAACTCATTATTTCTTCTTACCACAGAAGCCTTTGTTTTGTAAACCATTATTAATAGCCTGATTTCTATTAGTGATTGTATTTATTATCAAATCCCTGCTAATATTATAAATACGAAAGTACTGTCTGTTTGTTTGTAAAGTTTTCATTCCTAAACCGCTGAACTGTTTGTGATGAATTTTAGTATGGATATAAATGAAACCAAGGAAAAGGACTTGGGCTTCCTTTTATTCCAATTATTCGATTCCATAATCCCGACCGAAATCCCAATACTACACGGGGGAAAAAATGAAGTGGAAGTAGTCCAGGTTCAGAGGCCTTAGTGATAGAGAACAACTCATGTTTACGCGGACGGAGCCGCAGGGAAGAGCTAGTTATTATTATAATTACTATTATTTCAGGAAAGAAGTTACAAACATACAAATCTACATACAAGTGAACTTAAAAAAAAGCGGTAAAAATATTTTTTTTAATAACTCAGGAACTTGTAACATATATACGTAGACTTAAAATATTAAATATTTTAAATTATGTTACATTAATTGCGTCCATTCATATATTTCATAGAAATAAATCTTTTATTAATTAATTTACTGTCTTTCGACGAGGGAGCGAAATGAATGTTTTATAAATATTGATATAGTTAGTTATGTTTAATTATGTATACAGTAGTATCTCTAACTACGGGACTAATAGTTGTCATAAGGGATTTCAGATAATCAATTAAATGATGAGAAGACATTTTTGAACATCTTAGGTTTAAATGTAGATGATGATTACTCTTCTGAGTTTATATCTGTATTTACTTAAAAAGAAATCAGGTTATCTAAAACCGGGATTAATGTTTATTAAAAGACAAAAAATATACATATTTGAAGAAAATATGAAATAAATCTCAATACTTGCAAATCTAGTGAATCTGTGGTTTAAATTTATATTGTATTTAAAGTGCTTTATGCTGTTTTATAATTTAAAAGTTAATATAGCAATCATAGTTAATTTTAAGCTTAGTTATATGCCCATAACTTACCTTTAGGAAATAATTGAGAGGAATTAGCAGAACTCCTTTGTAGCTGAACTTGATTCTTATTTAAATCCAAGTGGTAACTACATGATGCGTCATTGTCTTCTTTTTGTGTATCAACACATTTTTCAGTTTCAACAGAATGCGATGAGTGTACAGTCTCAAATGTTGATGCTGCTAAATAAAATATATTTTTTAATACAACTAAATATATTTAAAGAAAAGTTAAATGAACAATCTTAAAATTGAATGATAACATATTGTCTTGATTGTATCTTCCTTCCTTGTTTCTTTTAGAGTTTCTGATTGAATGTAAATAGACTTGTAATTTTTACTGAATTAAACACTGCCATTCTTATATTACATAAAAAACTATAAACAACTTTTTTTGGTTTGTAGTTATCCAGTGAAATTATAATCTCTGCATATTTAGAACACTTTGTTTTTGTTTTACATATGTAAAGAAGTGACACAAGTAGTTATTTTGGAATACTGTTTGTAGGCACTTTCCTTCATTTAGATAAAAAAGGTAATACAGACTGCACATTATAAATCTATCAAACCACATGTAAGTATATAAAACTGTTAAGATGGCTTGTATACCTATTTCATTATATTCAATTAAATCTAATTTTTTTGTTTTTAATTTTTAATTATGACTATTAATTTCTTAAGTAAAATAATAATAATGTAAAATATTATCTATAGTTATAAAATATAATTGATTATTTATAGTTATTTTCTATTAGTAGTATGTATTATGTGCCTATAACTACTTGGGAAGTAGCTTACTTTATATACTTACTTAAGTATAGAGTTGGTACAACATTTTGAGTGAGTCGTTTACTTGAAGAAAGGTAAAACTGTTCAAAATGACGATCACATATTCTTATGTTGTTATAAATGTAAGAATCTTCCTTTTGTTTCATGTCTACATTTAAAATATTTTTCCATTGAATGAATTTCTCCAAATTTGGGTATTCAGGTTTAGGAAATGGATGAAAAGGACCTGAAATGTTTTTTATTAGAAGTCAATAAACTGTTACGATTGAAATTGATGTAACAAGAGTGGTAATTGATCGTATATATGACAAATAATAATTTTATAGATTTTACTAAATAAGTATCGTACCTTTAGTCGCACACCGAAAATAACTCTTACTAGCCGATTTCCGTGGCATTTTTTCAACTTATCGATAATCCAAATTCGTAGTTTCCAATCAAAATGAGAAGAGCCGGGGTCGATCGTAGTCGCAGAAAACAAAGTCCAATTGAGAAAAGCCGGGGTCGATCGTCAAAAGCGTAGAAATAGGAGTCAATGATATTTAAGCCGGGTCAAATGTTTGAAAAAGAACGAACACCACAAGAAGAACAGTAAACAACGGCAAATGAACAACTGAAATAATTTCAAATATGTCCTAATGTCAAATCAATTTGAGAGCTACTTAAGATATCTTTTCTTTCACGGCAATTATATGACAGCTTCATCCAGTGTTGCCAACCGTAAGATTTAAATCGTATTTATACGACCTTTTTGACTTTTGTACGATATACGATCGAAATCGTATGCAAAATATACGATATTTTAAATGGAGTCATAAGAAAAAATAAATCTCCAATAAAACTATTATGTATGTGTAAAACTAAACTTTAGTACTATAACTATAATTAACTATATTTAGTACTATACTACAACTATAAGGAATATGTAAAACTAAACTGTATTCCAGAAATGGTAAATAAGAATTTGTTAGCTGCACAACACATTAAAGAAAAAGGATCGTGTATAAACTTCAAGCCATGTGACGATATGCTGAGCAAATTAAATTTAAGTATGTATGTATGTACAAAAAATATAATGCTTTTCCCGCATTTGCTATGCCTAATGATTCAGATAGTGACGAATGCAATTATTTTTTTTCTGTTTTCAAAATATTTGTAATTAATGAATATCTTAATTCCACATATTAATTGATGAATAATGTCAATTGAAAAATAGAATTAAATTCCACTTTTATTTGATTTACTTACGCAGGTTTATTGAAATTTCATCGCGTTCGCTTATTTTCTTGAATTTCAAGACAAAATACTATTTTCTTTAGTCTATAGTACGATCCTCTAAAAAGTAAAGTTGGCAACACTGGCTTCATCCCCATTCCCCATGACTCTTAGCGTGGCCAACCTGACGGCTCGTTTATTGTTAGTTTTTAAATTTTATTAATTTACATTTTATGATTTTACTATTATTTGCTTTCATAATTCATTTCTCATGTCTCTCCTGTCCTTCCGGCTCCCTCTGGTGCCTCTGGTGACAGTCGGCCGCGGCCTTCCTTATGATGGATGTGTTTTACGTCGTTTATCTTCATGGTGAGTGTTTTTTTTCAACATTCTAATTGTTACTTTTTGCATTATTGACATAACGTTCAAATACAAATGTTTATTAAGTAACATTTTTAGTTTTGAGTAATATGTATTAGTGTTTAGTATGTGTAGTAATAGTATATTTTGAATTATTCTCTAAGCGTAACATCGAGCGCAGGGTTTTTCAACGTTATATCGTTTCAATGGCCTTCTTTATTATTATGTTTTTCACCCTTTAATATATCTATTGTCATTATATAAACTAGAATCATTCGTAACATTCAAGGACTCGTGAGAATATATAATTCAAGATGAGGGTCGAAGCTGTTGGTGGAGCGTCTGTTAGGACGTGGTCTGCGGACGAGAGGAAACCTTCTATGAAGAGAAGTGTATGTAGCTGATGTACGATAGTAGTGTGACGGTATGTACTGTTAATTTCTCCATAATGTATCTCTTATATTGAAGAAAACGTTATCGACACATTCATTTTATAATTCCTCATTATGTGTTAATATTATACATTATAATGAAATCCATATGGCGTCTTTCTGGAATAATCGATTATTATAAAAGTGTTTTAATAGTGTTATACTTTTTAAGTTACAATTTATGTGTTTA